AGGCTCTAATCCACCAATGAAGTTTGATGACGTCACAGAAACTGCACCGCCCTTCAGACACCGTGATCACTGCCTTTGAGCTGTGTCATCACTTAAACGATATATGTCATGGAAAAATCGGGCTAGAGCATGACTGAGGTGCTAAGGTATTTGCTCCAGACAGTGTGAGCCACGGTAGATGATTCCTCGACATATTGATCGTATTTGCCTCGGTGGAAGGAGAGAGACCGTACCAGGAAATACGGCGGAGGCGGGGGAAGGGTCGTGAGAGGAAGTGAAGATAGTGTAAAATTTGCTGTTTTGTGAGTTTTGTTAGAGAAATTTGCCTCCATCTCGCACCAGTTTAGATGCACTTTCGAATTTAGTGGGTTCTAAGTATTCCACTTCTACTGAGGAACGATCACATTCCGCGACTGAACAGGTGTGGGTTACTGCGCAAAAATGAATGTATCGGCGGTAGCTGATCCATTAGTAACGTGCCCGAATAATCTAAACCAGTGAAAAGCCCGTTGCACGCGTGGGCGAAGTTTGCGGCCCGCCGACGGGGATCTTTTTGGTTGCCCTTATTTCTTGGTACGGTAAAATACAGTAAAGTAGATTTGGGATCAACCAATAAGAATCGCGTGGGGGCGGGGCGCACCCCGCCCATATGATCAGCGCGCAATGTGCTTTTCAGATCCCCATCAGTTTGTTACCTTTCGTGACTTACAAATGGGCCAATCACTGCAACTACTCTCCTATTCAGACACACCACTCACTAGATAAATATGGAATGTGCATTTAAGGGATGGATGTCAACCAAGTGAAGCGTCCTCGTTTACATGGCAGCAGGTCCCACCGCGCCAATGACGTTATCCATAAAAGGGATGCAAAAACGGGGTGACATATTACAGTAACATTGAAACCCTACTGTGTTTTGAATCGCTCGACATCACGTTCAAGCACAGCCGTGAGGGATACGTGGAGGTTCAAATAAAGGAGGAGTTTACGATCAGGCAGCCCATTAGAATCAAGTAGAGATGGTCAGTGGTGCAGGAAAGAAGAAAAAACAAGAAAAACGGCCTAGAACCCGAGAAATGGGACCCCTTCCTTGCCCGTTGATTTCCGCATTGATGCGACTCTCATCGGTGCTGCCCTCTTCAACGCTAACGCTCTCTCTGCTAAACGGCTAGAGATCAGACAGCGAGGGGTGGGGTTATCGCGTCGACAATGCGCCATGGGCATGGGTGCCGTGGGCAGGGTGAATAACGGTCGAGGATTTCCTCGACCATAGCTCTCTACCATGCGAGAGTAGTGCCGAGAGTGAACATCCGCGCGGAGAGCACAGACGGCACGCGCATGGCGAGTGTGAATGTCCGCGCGAGAGATCGTGTCTGATCGGGCAGAGAATCCTCGACGTGCCGTTGAGGAATCCTCAAGCGATATTCACCCTGGTGGGGGAGGCCATGCTAGATCGCCGGGCATATCCTTCGATGCGCGATGAATTGCGTGTCGGTCCGCACCCCTGGGTCAATGTCAGACCTTTGCGAATCGCGCGATTCGGTCGCGTCGCGGCCAGCGAATCACTCAATTGGCTGGTACCGCAACGCGACCGCGGACGCTAGCGAATCGCTAGTAGCGAATCGCTCGATTCGCAAAGTCTGACATCGGTCCTCAGTAGGTTCGCCTTTCTCTCCACTTGGTAAGTTTCCCCTTCTCGAGCTCCGTCCTTATCGTGGAATCCTTCTTTGAACGGAAACTGTTCAATGAAATAAAAGAGCCTTGTGATCAACCCATAGTTGAAGAGGCGTATACATTGTGGTCTTTCGTTTTCTCAGCCGCTATCAGGCGAAGCCTTGCAAACATTGGATTATTGATCTCGGCAACACCTAAAAGAAATTTACCCATATCATAAATAAATGATGCGTTATATATTACTAATATAATAATAATAATTATTATTAATTTATCCGTTAATCTATTAATTTATTATTTCATTTATTTATTTTATTTTACTTATTTTACTTATTTTGTTCTTATTGTAGTTTTTATTTTATGATTTTATTTATTATTTAAATTTATTGAGATACCAATATATCCTACCAATTCATTGCATAATGAGCGCCTATTCTCCATCTACTAAAAATACTACATGTTATCGTGGAAATACGATTCTCATTCACAATGTTCATAGTTCATGAGTCATGGGCAAAGGACAAAGCTTCGACGGCAATCAATCCCTCTTTGAGGTGCGCCACGCACTCTCTCTCTATAGATGCGGTAGTAGCAGAATTGCGATACCGGCCCATGCCAACAAACTTGCCGGGGCCCCCCGAGACAACTTCATTTTTATACCCCAGACAATTGTGGGTAAAATTCCCCTCGTAATTCCGGTTATGCCCGCACGTCGTAATGATCCAGTAACCGATCCCTGCTCATTTGATGGTACCAGCGCCAACTTTGTCACCCTTGCACCGTTCCCCTATCAAAAAGATTTGTAGCAATTGATTATAATTTTGACCAGACCGACCAAATTAGCACCATGACAGATGTTCAATGATAAGAGGCTCGTTCCTAAAGATTGAAAGATGTATGTGCGAAAGGATCGCCAAGGGCACGAAGAACGCCAAGAGCCGTACAGGAGTCCTATGGTTTAAAGACCCTAAATATTTAATGGAGAGTGCCATACGTGAAAATTCACTCGAGCGTACAAGGACAGCACATGAGAGATATCAGAAGCTCACCCGATTTGGCACCCATTCCTTATGGCCCACTGCGAGCTGCAAAGCAACTCGCAATCAGCTGGCTGCAGCCTAGTGACGAAGGCCCTAGCTCATTTCAATCATTTTTAGGTCCAAAAGCGACAGTTTTATCCGTTGATTTGCTCTTTCTTATCCATGGAAGGCCTGGTTATTTATCTAATTGTGTGACGTCCCTTTGAAGCGTGTTTCACGGTGAAAAGGTAGCTTATTGGAAATAAGGTCGCAACTGGAATAAGTAAGAATGACAATGGACACCATTAAATTTAACAGCTATCGAGAACGCCAAGACGCCCCTGCGCTTGCGTTGATTTTTCGCACTTTGAGCGACCTCATCGTGCCCTCTTCGACGCTAACGCTCTCTCTGGTTGGTGGGCGTTCCGGGCCAATGCGAAAGAGGGAAGGCCATGTTGGATCGCCGGGGCATATCACTCAATGCAAATTGCATGTTGGTCCGCACCCTTAGGGAGTGCGCCGTCTCTACACACGTATAGAATAAGTTTCCCTATCTTCTTCGACCGTCTCTTCATATGGAATCGTATTTTCAATTATGAAAATGACTTCTAATACGTTATCAGCAAGAGTTATTCTGTATATACCTTGTATTTTCTTACGGTGCCAAATACAATACATGGAATATAAACTCTAATCAATAATTTGGTCAATGGCCTCACATCTGAGACGCTAGGAACCTGAAAACCCAATCCCAATCCCGCTTTGACCAATCCTTGTGATTGAAGAACGCACGTGCGTTACGCTCGGCCAGCGTCGCCGCGTGTTCCTAAAAGTATTTGTGATCTCAATCACCACAGTGAAATACTAAGGAAAAAGAGCTTATCGTTGAGCATGGTGTTTGTTGGCATGGTGCCAGCTAGCAACAGCATGCATATTGCTGGGAACTCGTCCAAACCACTATTACACTGGCTGCAGTCTCCGTTCCAGGCGCATTGACGCAATTGGTCCATTCAGCCGCTTTTTGACCGTTTCTCCTTATTTTCCTTTTCATTGCCACATCAGTTAGTATCTGGTGTGTTTTTGACGAATGATCACATAAACATGGCCAATGGGTTTAAGACTACATTTGCAACAGGAAACTTTCCTCCAATTATTCTCATAGAACTGGTATCGGAAATATGTTGGAATCGCGCCATCCACTTGCACTGGCTTTGACGTGGCTAGTAACCGCCGGTATTCTCTACCTAGTCAGTTTCTACCCTCACGGACAAGTGTCGTAAAAGTCAAGCGATTTCGAAGATTGTGCAGCGAGACTTGCTTGGTGCGCTAATTTCGCTCTTGTTTTGCATAGACTGTTAAGACAATAAACCTCGGAAAAAGACATGTGATTCCATTCACAAATAACCACCCTAACTTTTGTCGGCCATTCAAACTTGTTGGTCTCCTCATTTTTATAGGTTTCCACATACTGCCGTTGAACATAGGTGTACCTTGTCACACATGCGGAACAATGCAGATCACTGAAAGTAACTGTTATCATATTTTGGTACTTAGTGTTTCTGAGCTTGTGATCTACAGAATGGCCACAAATTACGGTAACAAGACAGGCGCATGCATTTTGACAGTCGAAATTAAAAGATAAATTTCACTGTGTCGTTGTAGACGACCGTAAAATCTCTCGAGAACCCCAAGCCTCACGCCATATTGAAGGCCTAGCATTTCTGATTCCCAAGCACGGCGTGACTCGGCCATTTTTCACCAGATATACGGAGCTGACTTCGCCGCGGTGACGGTGCACGGATATTCGCCTCCTTGTCAATGTCACCATCACAGTTTTGGGAGAAACCTCTGTTTTTTAAACTGCTTCAACTTCATCTAATCATATCTGTTTTCCCCGATTGACCATTACATCTGATTTAGATTCTCTCGTTACCGACTTCATATTGTTACCAATTGTAATCAGTGCTCGCTCCAATATATTCCTAGACGGGCTCAAATTTCTGGTAGTACAAGGACAGTTTTGACCACCGACGCTAGTCACTCAGAATGACCTCCCACACTCGACTCTCTGTATTTTGAGAGCAAAGCACATAAAAAGAAAAGAAAACGACCATACCGAGAAACCGCCGCTACGCCTTCAACAAACAGTAATAATCATACAAGCCGTAAATTTGCGATTGAGCCTCAGATTTTGCCCGCATACCCACATCCATCGAGGTTGCATATACAATGCGGGCAGTACTAAAACCTCCGCTTCAAAAATCAGACATACAGGAGAGCCAAAAAGGTCACTTCCCTCCACATTCAAAACGGATTAAATACACGTTGCAGAACCAAACCAAATGAGCTCAACCTTTGTTTGAAGGGTTAACATCATAACTCTAATCTAAGTCATTGTCTAGATCATATCAAAAAGGTTACATGACAGCCTTCTACACGACATCAGAAGATTTTCCCACGGAAACATGGTTCACGGTACGAGCTCAACGAGGTACCATAGACCATTACGACGTCCCTGAAACGCTGGTCAAAAGCGGTCTTGCACAGTCACAGCTAGTGTCTCTGGAAGCTATTCACCAGTTAATCTTGAAGAAATTATGTAGCAGCTTCAGGCCGGAGCGATTACGGTAAGCCTCGTTGAGCTCGACGGTGACGGCAGATGACGTCATATTCTGAAGACGGTGGGGGCAGTGAAGGAGGGCCTGCTTCTGCTTATGGGGGACACCTAAGGAATATTCTGCCGTAAAACATTCATCAACAACGGCATCCTGTGCGACGAAAAATTTGATGATGTGCGCCATGGGCAAAGTGACTTTTTTTGCCCCCCTGTATATGGAGTTGTGAGTTAAGAGCTTGAGATTAAATCTTGTTGATAATGGCAATCAGGCTCAGAGATAGCAACTGCGTTGGAAATATTCATGAAGGCAGTGCAGCGCGTAGTTGTTGAAACATTTTTCACATGTATACTAAAAATGTCAAATAGTCAACCCACCTTCCCTTCGCCAGACATTTTGTTCAAATTCCTGGCTACTTTTATAGTATTCGAGCACAGTGATGTTCACGCAGTGATGTGATGTGTTCAACGGGCAATAGTTATGTGCAAGAAGACAACGATAGTAGCTGGAACATCGAGCAGAATGACAGGTAAAGTGTTGACACGAAATTGCTGACATAAGCTCTCCAATATACAAGGGTTTCACGTGAGTATTGTCCCGCAGTGAGCCACACCTCCAGGAGTGCGTTGCCCCAAAACGATCCCCCTCCTTCTATTCATGTTCTCTTACCATTAGTCCCAAACCTAAACTGGAGGATCCTGTTTCCGAAATACATCGCGATTCCAAATACGGACCCCTCTTTCCCAATGTAAGACACCGCCCAGTTCGTGTGTCGAAGAATCCTCGATATTGGCTGAGCCAAAGTACTTTGGCCAAAGCAAGGCCAAAATTCGTTCCTCCGAATAAGACCATGGGACGTACCTTGAGTTTCAGAGAATGGGATCGCATTTGGCCCAATGGGGTTTTATTTCTCGACGATATGAGAAGAATACATTTTCTGGGGATAATTTTCTGCAAAGGAATAGAAAAAACGAGAAATTCTGACATCTTGCCTAATCACGTCGGACGGGCAGTCTCGGCTGATTCATTCTGAGTTGTGAACAAAACTTTCGCCCCAGGCGGGACTAGAAAACCCGCACCTCTCGCTTACCGGGCAAGTGCGCTACCAGTTACGCTACCGGGCACCATTTCATTCCAACTCACATTTCTAACAATCAAAAAGAAGTCTCGGCTGAGCTCATCGCAGAGCTGGGTGCTCTCTTCCTCTCGCGAGCAAAGAATTGCTGCTGAAAGTCACCCAGCGATAAACTCTAGTTGTGACTACTATTCGTTTAGATCCTGGTTGTTCACAAACACTATTCACAAGTACTAATTATGGGGCCAATCAACGTACCACCCCAAGATACGCTATGAATAGGGGTGTCTCTTTGAACCCTACTCTTGTATCTTAACTGGTTTTGCGCGGCATGTTCCCGTTTATGAAGACAATGCCCAAAACACTGCAAGGTAAACTAACTCACCCACCGTCCAGGAATACCACAAATAGCCACGCAGCTGGTGCAAGCAGCGCTTGCGCCACAATCTCCACCCAAGATGCGAATAAGGTCGACCATGAGTGACGAGTTTCAGGCACTCTACAATTCATCTCGCTTATATATGATGTAGAGTTTCTGAAGGCAGTGAGTATGAGAATTGCTTGGCGATCGATAATGAACGTTGGGATGTTAAGGGATGCTGCAGTGAAAAGCAGGCTAACACGGTCTAAAACCTGGAAAATGAGGCTCTTATTCTGCCTGTCGATTTGTGGCGCTGAAAGTGATTCAACGGTAGTCGATGCCATCATGAAAACGCCGTGCTTCCGTATAAGAGCTAGACAGCGGACAGAAGAGCGGCCATCAGCGAAGGCAACCACTTCGTGGCACGGTATATGATTTGAGACGGAGCAGGAATTTTGATGGAAAGGCAGAATCGCTTCAAGAGCGCTTGTGCTGAAATAAGCTACTCTTTCTCCTGAATACCCACATTACCCATCCAGTTAATCTGTTCACAACATTGCTCGCCCAATGAAATCATCGCATTCTTCATTCAGAGCTTTAGAGGGCAAATAAGCTTGACGAAGTAACCGAATATGCATAGCTCCGGCTTCTTCAGCAAATGTCAAAAACACCTAACCTTTATTCATTTGTTTATTTCATTATCTGTTATTTATTCCAACACACTCAAAGGTGTGCAAAATCAGTGAGGAATACCACGTAGGAAAAGCAATAAAATATAAAGGAGCTAAAAATGTTCTTACTATAGAATGAACATATTCTTCTCCCTCAAAGAAAGGTGGGGGAGAGGTCCTTTTCCTTTTCTTTTGCTCTGCCTAATATCATCTTTTGCTCACTCAGAGAACCCTGTTACCACTCCAAAAGTAGGAAGAATTGAATGACTCACAAAGTCGTAATTAGATCTCTAACGAAAAGAAAGAGGAGTAAGGCCAAGGAAACTATGCTGGAAGGGAGGTGGTCATAGGGGCTTCAGTCAGAGAAAATGCTCGATCTTTGTAGGTTGTATCACATCAAATCCATATGGACAGATCAAGTTTCAGTCGTAGAAAACAATGTTTAGAGCGAGAATGGTGCGAGGGACGCCTCCGCATGACCCATGATAGATTCAGGATCAATCTTCGCTGAGGCCATTCCGAACCACTACACATTCAGAAAAATAAGCGCACCCATCTGGGAGAAATACAAACGCTGGCCCAGGAAATGTAAACCTCGGGGAAATTATTTAATTTCTATTTGATTTATTACCTGAAGCATGTGCCGTGTAAAATTTTCCATGTGGTTGTGTTCAGAACAATTCCTATGATGAATAAAGCGATCGCCGGACCGAACATGAACACCAATGAGTGGTAAACATTGAGCGGAAACGAACATGGACAAGCGAATGTCAGTTTCCGAATAATCTAAAAATATGGTTACTTCCATTACCGTAGCTTAAACTCACTTTTTTCTGATTCAACATGTATTTTACTAGCTTGAGCTCAAAGGAACATTAGAAGACGAATCTAGGTCAGCCAATACCTTCAGTGAGCACAGTGAAACTATACAGAAAGATAACCAAGAGCTTACAAATCATGGTGCCTGCGTTACACTAATCCCCTATGATCTCTCGTCCTCGTGCCTATACTCTCGTCTTCGCGCCCAATGGCTTCAACGTGGCGCTCGTCCACCAACTAAAAAAATCTCTCAGTGTCAACGTTTTGACGGTTTTCTTCCCTTTCTCTTCATTCGTGGTTCACTTCGCGCCTCGACTTCGTTCGCAACCCCTGTTTTCGCCCACCATGATCTCATATCACCACGACTTAGGTATATAAACCTCGATCGTGGAGTAAGGTTCACTTATTGAGTTTATTGTTCAATTGCTGCCAATAAAGGATTCCTGATCGACGGCGGTTATTTCACAACAACCCCATTTCTCACATAGGTGACCCTGGAATTTACCTTTGGATTTGCACCCATCCATGCTTTCTCATATGTGCTTTGAACTCAACCTTTTGTTCAGCCTTTGGCGATGCCTCTACCAATTCTCATTCAATTTCCTGAGAAACGACGCATGTGAGTATATGTGGGGAAGGACTCCAGATACCTTTTTACATGCATGAAACATTCACATTAGATTTAGTAAATGTCGCAGCTTGTACGGAGGGACCATGGAACGCAGACCAGAGGGCTTAGCAAATTGTGTCATCCTGCAGCAGAAGAAGCCTACAGTGATGAGCGTTATCAGTCTTAACCCCACGTGACGACATAACAGTCCAGCCTTTGTCTGCGTGTCTCTCTCGCCTCTATCTTCTCTCGTTGCCTCGTCGTCATAATCTCTCACTCTAAAATGCACGCTTTTTTCTGTTTTGTGTGAGCTCCTGCAATACCACATACGCAGATAATCATTATTCATGGAAATTTTGACACCTTCTGCTCCTTTCTTCATTGTCAGGACATTTTCGAGCCAAGGGTGAGCGCCGAGTGAAACAGCGCACTCAGAAATGTTTGTTTAAAACAGCAAAACTGGCAAAGACAGATGCTTCTGAGAGATTTGAGAGAAGCGGCAGTGCAAACCACTACAACTTTAAGGCAGCGCCAGACGCGATGAAGGCCTGACTTCGCCAGGTGAGCAACTCAGCAGCAGAACGAAGAGACTTACCGACTGGCCACCAATGGTGGACACGACCAGAATAATATTCAAGAACGTTGATCCATGATTTGAAAACAAGTTTTGGAATACATTCACCACAGAATTAGCGCCCGACATGGTCCTGGAAATAGCCGAGTACTGATAGCAGGACTCAGCCCGTTGTTAAATACCTTGGAAAGAATCAAATGGTAAAATGTAGATGCCAGGGACCGTGACCCGTTAAGATACCCCTTACTCCCTGTGATGGAGATCGACGCTTCAGCCCTGGCTTACTTACATGTAGCTGAAACCTGTTCCTACAATTTCTCTCTATTTATTTATCGAGCTATTCACCTATTCAATTATTTTATTTACTTATTTATTTATTTACTTATTTGTTGCGCTAGAGAGGCGCTCCACAACACAATTTTGATCTAATGTTGAGCGGTAATCCAATTATGAAAACAAGGGGAGGCTCTAGACCCAGCTGATCAACCCCTCCATATAAGTAATCCTCATGTTCTGATAATCCTCTTTGTGCGACGCCCTCCCTGGCAAGGAGACATACAGGAAGAATGCGGCTCGGATGACTACAGTAATCTCTAATGCTGCCGAAGAGGGCCTTTTTGCACTTTTCAGAATTGCAAAAACAAAAAAAATGTCAAAAACTCACGACGATACGCCCTTATGAGCGTTTCCAAAGCGAATGACGACAGCCGGGTAGAAAGCATGTTGCCAGGCAACGTCACAGCGGCACGACCGTCATAGAAAACGTAGACAAAACAAAGAGGCGCAATAAACAGCCGAATACGATATCTAATTATTTGACGGTGAATAAAAGGTTCAATAGCTGTCTTCATCAAGAACGAGCGTAATAGCTTGGATGGAAAATGCTCTTCCTTATGATTAGCTTTGGAATGTGCCATTAAGTCCAGACAAGCCTCATGTAGTCAATTAGCCTCTACAGGGGTCTTTTTTCCCTTGATAGGAGGAGGGCGCCTGTAGGGCAGGTAGGACTTGGATATTCGGGTAATGTGAAACTGGCCCGTCGGAGGAAGATGGAGAGGGGACGTACATAGCCAGGGTCAAGCGTCATCTTGTGCCATTTTTCGAAGTCTTGAAAAAACCTCAAAAACCCCTCTCCCACTCCACCACAACACAACCTCTCAATTCCCATCATCACGACCCTGTTCCAAGATCGAAATCGGCTTCCCTGGTACTCTTTCACAATGTACGGTACCGGTCAAAAGAGTTCGCAGAAACGGTTTTCCGTGCTTCTCTTTTTTTTGTCAGAAAAAAATAAGCGATGGCCTCGAGAGTTTTTCTCTTCGAAATTTTGTGATCCTTTTAAGATTTGAGGATATAACACTAGTAAACACAGTATACCAATCTCTCGGAGGACATTGCTGCTGTATGTTTGACCTTGGAGGAACGTCGTACTGACCAAAATTTTCACCAGACATGACGATACTTTTCACAATACAAGAACCTTGCATTGCATGTTGAGACTTAAATTGGCGTATTAAGGTTGACCAACATTCGTATCAAGACCAGACCAAGCCGGGCCCTCTTTCAGTACACCGAACTGTAGCACGGTGCGAGACATCCTCGAACCATGCAATCACTAGCAGCGGTTAGTATAGTCTGCCGGAAAATTACTGAAATCTGATTCGATGCAAATGGCACTTACCTTGCGATGGAGTGCCTGCAATGAGTTCATATAGTCCAAACAGCAGAGGAGATTATACCCTGCATATGTCAAGCTAAAGTTTGCTGTTTTTATAGTCGGCATTGACTTCAAGCATGCTGATAACAATGATGGAAGTCCATTGACAGCTGCGATTTTTCTTCGCATTGCCCATTAGATCTTATTTGTTCTCAGACCCGGGGAAGCTCATTGTGGGAAACGTTTTCGCAATACACGTTTAAACACCGCAGTCCGCGACCTATAGCGTGTGCTGATGCAATTTTGTACAGAGAGAAATCAGAGCCCGGGATTTGCATTTTGACGAACAGCCAAGAGGACATGTGGACATAATCCAAATGGGCCAGTCAAACCGACGACCTTGCCCCAAACTTTTAAACCCAACTATCTGATTTTAAGTACTGAGTTTTCAAATTATAACCCATGACCTCGATGCTGTGATAGACAGGGACACATTGCTAGGGACTCCGTAGAGCTTCTTGATTCGAGACGGAAGTAAGCGTGGTTTAAAAGAGGGTAGCCTGGAGATCTTGCTCATTTATTAAAGGCATGCTCCGACGACCAGACGCGCTTACCTTACATCTCCGAAAAAACGATAGGCAGGCGTACAAGCGTTAATGTCGCGCCCCTTTTGCCGGCTTGAAAGTGCGCGACAAAGGCGCTGGAAGCTCGCTAAACCCGCAATCCACTCCTTCGTCCGCAAGCCCCGCCTTCCTCTGTCGGTTGCCACGTGACGCTGTCTAAAGCGCGGGGCGTAGTTGCGGCAGCGGTTCCATTGTGATTCCAAGTCATTGGCACTGGAACAACTTGAGCGAAACTGGTCCAACACGCCCCTTGTATACCCCAAGGTGGAATGGACGGGAATAGCGTAACGGGGGTTTCTCTTGCTTTTTTCTTCTTTCAGACCACTCCACCTCTCTAGCCTCATTAGTGAACGTACTCCTACACCTATTTTATCCCGAAGCTTTGAGATTAAAATAGGTGTAAGATAGCGTAAAAAATGACAAGCGGTGTAAGAAGACAAGCGCATAGCTTAATGGCCATTGGAACGAGAGATGAGAACAATTGAAGAAACCAGAGGAATGCGCTGAGAGGCATGAACGATCAACATTAGCAAGGGCGAAAAAAGGAAAACTAAAAGGAAAAGAATCTAGCGACGAAAACTGATGCAGAGAAATGGTAAAAACCGACAGAAGTACCTTCACAGCAATGGAAATCAGATTCTCGCCCATATGATTTTGCTGAGCCAACACTTGCCATCCCTACTTCATTTTGGAGTTTGCAGACGACAGAGACGAAGAGACAAAGAAGAAACGCTGGTCTTTGAAAACACATTTCTCATTCAACTTCCATTTTCACATCAGTTAAAACAGACCGGCAAAGCCGACATTTTATGACGAAAGATAATTACAATCACTACATACAAAAAAGACTGCCATCTCAATAAAATTACAACTTCGACACGACAAAGCAATGACGTGAAGCAAATAATCCTGAACTCAACTGACAGCAGAAAAGATAACTTGTTTCACTAAAATATATCCTCTCATTGTTGTCTCTTCCTCGATGGACCTCGAGGTTGTCCTGTAGGCGTTAAGCTCGACCTTCTTCTCGGCTACAAATAAAAACTTATACATATTACTAACATAAGAGTTAGTGGCAGGGTCAACCGTCACGTTCGCACTTTTTCAAATATTCTGCGACCCCCTACCACTACTATCAATCTTGAAAGGCTCCCTCAATACGATCCTCCTTCACCCTTCTCCTTTCTCCGACCACCACCCTCACCATCATGGACGATTCTATAGTACCTGATTCTGAGACCGGTCGAGACCAGCCCAACTCCGCCCACTTTTCCCTCCAAAACGACCGTCGAGCAGGGGTAAATTGGCATCATGAAGCGCAATCCACTTAGAGCCTAGTTCTTACTACTTTCGCAAATCTTCAATTCGTCAAAAAACACAACCCTCTTCAGCAATTTCAACAACCTCTGCTCCCACCATGACACCGTGTTTAAACTTGAAATGGACCCCCTCGCAATTCGAATAGTTGCGAACACACGGTGACTCTGGATAGTTGGTCTGAGAACCAAGCTGGACATCTCCAGCTTGTCTGCTCCTCGATGTGCGCCACGAAAGCTCCATTCTTGGGGTCAATCGTTAGCAAACAATGATTAACATTAGATTCAATCGCCAAAAAAAATGAAATACGTATAAGAACACTCTAAAAGTGTGCATCCTCGCTCTATGAATCTTGACAAATGCAAACTTCCCCATACCGTCAGAGTGCATTCTCCTATCGTAGCCTTGCACATCTCCTTTGCATAGGAATTACATCATGACCGGTACTGTTGAACATGATTGCATTCGTAAAAACATCATAAATACCCTGCAACAATTTCAATCGCATTTTGCCTCATGGATTGTTATATTTTATTAGCCACATGGATGGCTATGGAGATGAAATCAACGCTTCAAAGGAAAAGTCATCAAACTGCCGCACGAGAATCACCTCAATTTCCAGTACCATCTCCAATCATCAGATCAGAAAACTTACTTACAAAAAAAGAAAGATTAGAAAAACGATAACTGAAGCACAGTAATGGAAAAAAGAGCAACTGTCTATTAGTACAAAGGCGTAACGGAGAAAACGTATCTGCGATTCGAAAGGGGGAGCATATCAGAGTCAATTTGGCGTCCTGCGAAGTTTCAACATAGGTACGGGTAGGGGGTATTCGGTAACTGAAACGAGAGAAAGGTTGAAAAGTACTATAGAACCAGCACTGTTGGCGGGAGGTCGTACTGGAGGACCACTCTAAAGCCGATGGTTGTGGTGGGAGGAAAAAGGGATAGTATTCCTGGGAATCGCGGTTGCGGGATAAGAGGGATGGGTTTGACAGTGTTTTTAAAATCTTTGGCGGAAATTCAAAAACATGAGAATAGGGAATCAGACATCGCCGTATGGCAGCCGTCCCCCCCCCCCCCTCCACTTCGCCCGACGGCCATCCTGGGGGAAAAGTGGGTGGAGTTAGGAGCGTGTTGACTGGTCCACATAGTCAGAATAGAATCACGTACTATAGAAACAGCCCTGTTGGCGGGGATCGTATTGGAGGACCCCTCTAAAGATGATGGTTGTGGGAGCGTATCAGACCTTCTGAGAGGGAAGATTGTCCAATTGGAACTGCGAAACAGCGAATGGTTGGACCCTGGTGCAGATTAGGGTTGACGAAGGACAAAAGTTTAAAAGGGGTCGTATTTGTGGAAGGTGCTCGAGTCGTGGTTGCAGTTGCTAAGAGGGAGTTGTTTTTGTTTTGACGAGAATCTTTGAAGGAAGTGCAAAATAGAGAAAACTAGAGCATTTGTCGCTACCTGAACATCGTGTGACAATCCCTCTAAAGCGGGGCGATTCTAGTGTCGCCTGGTCACGGGCACCGCGCATCTCGGGGTCCTCAAGATGCCATCGAGCGCGGCGAAGCAAGATACGCAGACGCGGCAAAAGGACGAGTCGCAGCGCATACTGTAGCGGGTTACGGAACGGAGTGTACCATACTACGTCTCATATCGCACAGCACGCGCTGCAACTCGTCTCTTTACCGCATCTGCGTCTCTTCCTTCGCGCCGCGCCATAGGCCTCTTGGGGGACACCCCTCGGGACAATCTATGGAAACAGCCATGATAGGTGATAGTGATAGGGGATCTTGCTGGGGACCCACTAAGGCTGATGTCGTATAACTTCGTATAATGTATGCTATAATTTGTGAAAAAGAGATCAGATATGATAGATTGTTGTAAGTCCTGAAGCCGTCTTCTGCGCCCGTCGCTTTTCGGAACCAAAAATGTAAGGGATGTCAAACCGTTTGAACATGCAAGATCTTCCCGACCACCCCCTTCCCAACGCCTTCGTATGACAATGTGTAACTCACTTTTTCAACAGAACCGTTGGGTTGTGGGCGTTACCACTGGCATCGATTTCACGCTTCAACGTGGTCAAATCCACAGGACTAAAAAGGTGAGGAGTATTGGAAAATAGAATGATACGTGATTCAACAAAGACAGCTAAAATGTACCAAAAGACAATTCGGCTATAGCCTGGCGCATCTCTATCCGTTACTGGATGAAGGAAAATAGCCGAATGCCGGTGCTTCTTGCAACGTATTCCATGTGGACATCATCCGACCCTTCAAATAAAAGTGCTTTGAGGCATTCATGACAAAAACAAGCAGTTCATTCTCGGCAAGCGAAGAATACAATTATTGTGCTCGAGAGAAACCGGGGAATTAAAGGCCTTCCTTTGGTCGTTCACTTAATGCATTTTTGCACTTGCTACCTCCTCTCCAACCATTGCCTTGGAAGGACGAGGCTGCGTTGGATTGGCATGCTAATTTGCTTGAAAATTAGGCAAATTAGGCAAGGAGTGGAACAAGGATCATTAATGGGAAGAAAAGGCAAAAGGTATCATAGGAAACAAAAAAACCTTGTGAAGCCGGCCGTAGTAAGGTGGAGAGACATAGCGCCACGAGGAGAGGAAAGATAGAGAGTACGCGTATGGGGCGACAAAAAAAACACCACTTATTGCGGGTTTGGTTACGATGGCAGCAGGGCAAACACAATAAAGGCGAATGTCTTAGCATTGCTGCCCACGCACTTTGTTTGAGTCGCGACAGTTCGCGCCTCCTACCCATGGGACCCTTTTTTCTCCTTCTAGAAAGGAATGGCTCTAGGACCTAATCCCGACTTGTGGCCTTAACGATTGTTCAACACTGACTGATGTGGCTAGCTCTGCGAATTCTTCGCCCTTTTACTGGCACAGCCACAAGGAAACCGGATTCAATGGCACATATCCGCCCACTCATGCCATTATTTTCTTCGCTTCGGTTCGTGTGAAATCCGCCTAACTCACCTTGGGAGTCAACGTTAGTGCAGGTGATGCAGGTGGTTTTTCTTCCTTGCGTGATCGCTTTGGTGGTGATGAGACCAACGAAAAGTTAGATCTCTCATCTAACGGCTGCGTCAAACCGAGATTCTTTGCAACTATAAAAATACTTCATGAAATGTCTCGCAACATGTAAACGTAATTTTATAAACAAGAAAGCGCGCATTCACTTGTACAAGCTCATAAAGTGTAGATGAAGAAATGACAGAACTAACCTTGCAAAGCTTCCTCGCTGAAATGACAGTAGCACACATCCCATGTGTGAATGCGTTCTTCTGAAGCCTTCAACGTTTCTGACGTTTTCTGGAATCGAAAATTACAATTTATCAAGCGCCCTCGTTTCACTTCTCCTACATTCATTACCGGATGGACCAGGAAGGATCAAGGTTACTACCGTAATTTCTTCCACCGCTTAGATTAGAACCGCTGGACTGGTAGCTCATAGAACATCATCGCCGTGAGAGAATGATGAAGAGAAAGTTAGTGGCAGGTATCAAATCTCGAATCGATACACAAACGCAAGCCTATCCTCCCCTGCCTCGGATTCATTTAACTGAGAAGACTCAAACGGATGGAGAGAGTAAGTCACCACAATCAATTGTACAGACCAAACACACATTCAGAGGTCATTATGATTCTGAATGGAAGCCAAATGCGTGGCGCGTCTTGAAAGATATTGATCAATCTAAGCCGAATGTCTATTACTCCTATAGGGTAAAAGGTGTATGACCGTCTTGCACGAGCCACAAACTTTCCATTACATTTTTCAGGGAAAGGGAATAAGGCAAATCTTCGCTCATAACTTTGGTAGGAGGGGAGGGGGGACATTCAAAACAGCCAATGGTAGGTGAAACCAGGACTAAGCCCAGAAAAGGAGAAAAACGCCAGGGAGAACACAGTTTCAATATGCTTCCTCAAGATCCGTACCGCTCTCAATGGCTTAGTCCCAAACACAGTAATTGGCTCACGCACTTGGTTGTCTCCCAAGGAGATAAGCGCCACGCAACTTTATTCCTCACGGGACCAATACTCTACCAACGCATGCGCTAATCTCTCCGCACCTTTCCAATTTCTCCTCAATTCTAGGAAAACTACTGCATGGTGTATCCAAATGGGATTTTCTGGTCCGAAGATAAAACAACCATAACGGATTCGATTTGCACCAACCTTGTCGTAGCTCCCATTAAGCACGTTATCCCAAGAAACGATTCTTGAGCTCTGATCAGTTTTACAATGTGCCTGAAAGAAAACGAAAATGTAGATTCGCCTCTTACCAGGACCCAACAAGATTACGTGTGAAAAGCACCTTACCGTTTTCAAGACTTCTGATTCTGTTTTGGGCACGAGAAGGGTCGAAGTAGAAGGTGGAAGCATTCTCACATCACTGAGAGGCCATCCAACCACAATCTAAACTTCAACACTTTAGCATTCCTTCGGAAGAAACTTTCAGGAACAGTTGGTAATTTTCAATAAAAAATGCCTTCAGCCAAATCTTCAAGAAACCACCTTATCGTCAACGTCAAATTTGACTTCATCTGTCTGGCCAGCCATACCGCTACGTGAGGAACTTGCTGAAGCAGAAGACGTTATCGATGCACTTCGACGTTCAGATCTTGATGATTTACGACTCTGAAACTTTTCACCAATTAAGGTACTGCTGGATTGCTGTGGTCACGACGTGATTCGAGCTCTTACCGAGACCACGTCTCCTTCACCGCCTGAAAACACCGGTATCTGTATCGACAACGCGGTTTGCGTCCCAGTTCCTCCAAAGTTGTCTGTGAACACTCCAAATTGGAGACGTGAAGCAACATCAGCGTCTGGCGACTGGAACTTTGATCATAGTAAGAAGACTAGACAACTGGAAGCAGCTCTTGCGTTCATTCACACAAATTCACGAGTACGGCTGGCCTCATGTTGAACGAAAGCCTATTTCGATAACAGCAAATTCTAATAATTGCAAAACGGGTCAGGACCACATTCTCAATGAGAACAATACCTTTTAACAGATTCGCGTTCTCTGCTTCCTTCCCTCACATCCGGGGAATCTGCTCCAGCACTGGTTCGTCCTGCATTGGAAGTCTTTCCGAGTAGAGGAGAAGTCCACAGCCAGGCCTCGGGGCGCCTCCTTCCTGGGTGTAGCCCGGACTGAAATCACCAGTTTTCAACTCTTCTCTCAGGTGCGACAACAAAAAAACCAGGAATGGTTAACGAAATAAGCTCGTTAACCCTTTGACGACCGCCGTTATGAATGCGTCACTTCACTTCTTTCTAAATTTTTTCATCAATAATCATTAACTCTCCAACAATTTCACTATTAGTAATTAGCGCATTATTCCGCGAATTCGATGATGTATTTGTGTAGTTTTGAAACATAAAAAATGCCAAAATAAACCCCTAAAAACGTGTCGCCACCGAGCGAAAGTGTGGCCCACCGGCGGGCCACACGGTCGTCAAAGGGTTAAATGTTGTCTAGCCAGTTAGCAGAAACTATCGGTTCTATCTAGCTCCTACCAGTTTTTTTTCAATCCCAAACCTGGGTCCATGTATTCCGGAAATCTAAAGCCTTGGTGGTATCTTACCTTTGAAAAGGTGTTCACTTGATTGAAAATTGATAACGATAAGCAGTACTCACCCCGCGGGACTATCAACAACATGGATGGAATCCTTCTCAGTGGCAGTGGAGGTCGCTGCTGACACACTCGCTTCACCACGAGCAGCGCTGCGACGTGTCTCTGCGCGTGTGGGAGACTTCTGCTCTTCAGACGCTTTGACTGACATTGGTGAACCGTCTCGAGTGGACGACTCCTCCACAAGTGTTGCTGCTGATGATGACTGAAAAAACCCTCTCGTCATGCAAAGAAGAAAATCGCATTAAGATGCACGCATCACTGTTTGATTCTATTGTAACTAAAGCACACCTTTTTGGGTGGCCTACCCCGTGGGCGTTTCGTATCCGACTGGCTCCTCGGTGAGTCTAGGCCATTGTCTGACAATTTCGATTCGGTTTCATCAACTTCCATCTTTTCAACCTAAGAACCTATTTATAAACACAAGCAAAGAATAACACTGGCAAGTATACAACAAAACTGCTTTACTCACTACATGTTCTTCTTCCTTCACCGTGACAGCCATAGGCTCTCCGTCGCCAACAGAAGAACGATTGGGAGATCTGAAAGCGATGCTACTGTGATAGAACAATGAGAGGATAAAAACCATTTTAGATTATCAATATAGAATATAAACGCTCTTAAAGAAAATGACCTTATACGGTGCTGCCCGTTCGCGAGAGTACACGAGAATTTGAGAGAACTGAGAACTTTTAGAACTTACTTTGTTGGAGAAGTTGACCCGCCCGCGTTATCGACGTCTCGCGGTCGTTGACCGAGTATTTTGCGAGGAGAATGCGGAGCACGAGCTGGCTAAATGGAATGTTTTAGGGAGAGGATATTCCACGAAAGTTTAACTTCCTAGGCTTCGTGTTATCCTTGTGCTCGTCCACTATCATGATTTCTTTGAGTTCACTAACAGTT